GATGTTTTAAAAAATACGTAGATTTTTTTAGATGTTTTAAAAAATATTTTTTTTTTCGAAGACGTAGATTTTTTAAAAAATATTTTTTCGAAGGCGTAGATGTTTTAAAAAATATTTTTTTTCGAAGACGTAGATTTTTTAAAAAATATTTTTTCGAAGGCGTAGATTTTTTAAAGAATATTTTTCCCAAGATTTGGATTTCCCCCATTCCCTCAATAAAATGAAACTCCATTATAATTTATGTCTTCCACTTTGTTACATCCGGCTTAGTTTGTCAACGACTTTTATTTTATTCACATTAACAATTGTCTCCTACCATGGCTAAGGTAACATGGCCAATTGCTGTATTTTTTTTTTTTTTATTTAATTTACATTTAACTACAGTTTTGTATCAATAACGTTAATGAATGTTTTGTTGTTGTTGTTTTATTTTTTCTTATTAAAAACCTTCTATTCCTTATTATGGTGATCACTTGAAACCTTTTTTTTTTTTTTTTTTTGTTTTGAAAACTATACCATAATTCAAATAAAAATCAATGCAAGCAATTAAATATTAAATACGGAAATTTCAAATAAATAAAAATGAAAAAACACATATTCAAAGTCAATTAATTTGAAAAAAAAAAATTGAAAACAAATTCAAAAATTATTCAAATAAGGCAGAACAAATGACTCTCGATTGTAATCGAATACAAATATCGAATAATGTATTGTCTTAAAATTATATTCAAAATATTGACAGTTGACATGTGTCAATGTGTGTTGTTGGACATGAGAGATAATAACAATAATTATGACAATTCTGTTATGTTTGGCTGTTTATTGTTCTGTGACTTTGTCTGCATTTTGAATTTTTGGAGGTGGATTTTTTGGAGGTTTACTTCCTAATCCATACCCTGCCATCTCAAGGCATTGTATTCGAAGTGAAAGGAGTTCTGTGGGTGGTCTTTAGTGAAGGGTATCACTTTTGTTTCTGTGTGTGTTTTTTTTTTCAAATTAATTGATTTCAAAATTTAAATGTCCTGATTTGTTGTTGTTGCTTTTGTAATGAGTTCTTGTTGTTGTTTTTGGTTTTAGTAAATTGTTTTTATTATTTAATAATTAAAATTTATTAATAATTAAATAAAATGTTGAGTGTGTGTATTGTTGTTGTTGTTCTTCTTCTTATTGTTGTTGGATTTACAAAAGAAACAAATATTTATATTATTATGTATGTATATATATGTAGAATTATAGTAACTATATAAATTTGAATAAAAACGTATACATGCGAACGGTATTCCCTCTAATGGCGAAATTGCAAAAAGATTTTAAAATTTCAAAATTTGCAATTTGAATTTAGTCATCACCACCAGTCATGACTTCCATGAATTCTGTAAAACAGAAAATAGAAAAAAATTCATTAATCCCCCATTTCTTCCTCTCTCCCCCTTCTTTCCCTTAACTCACCATCAAAATCAACAGTGCCGGAACCATCAGAATCAATTTCCTCAATCATCATGTCCAAATCTTCATTGGTCAGCTTATCATCCAATTCACGGAGAATTTCACGCAACACCCCTGTAGTGATATAGCCATTACCCTCCTTGTCATATAAACGGAAAGCCTCTTTCAGTTCTTGCATCATCGCCTCGGCATCCTCTTCAACAAGGAAACGGGCGGCCAGTGTTGTGAATTCTTCAAATTCAATTTGTCCCGAACCATCTTCATCGACTTCGGCAATAATTTCAGCTAAGGTAGCATCGTCCAATTGATGACCCAACATACTGAGAATGGTACCCACCATCTGGGTATTGATGTAACCATTCTTTTCGGGATCGAAGGCATTGAAGGCATTGCGAAGGACTGGAAGAAAAAAAAACAACAACAAATTATTAATATTTTTTATGAAATAAATAGAATCATAACTTTTTAACAAATTCAAAGCATACTTTTAGGCGCACATTTAATTAAAAAAAACAGTAAGGAAAGTAGTAACAATCGGAAGGTACCGACTATATGTTAACCTTCACCACTTTGGGTATATTCAACATATGTGGCATTTTTGAAGGATCATTAAAATGAAATTGGGCCCATAAACATGTCATTCTGCAACCGATACTAAATTTTTCATTTGGCCAGATGGGCCAAAATTATGTAAATCTATTTAATCGGACGAAAATATTTATAAAAGCTATAACGAAATCTAAGCCGATTTCATTGAAACTTGTCGCAGAATATCGGCCACATTTTGAGTTCTTGGAGCATTATTTACTTAAAATCGGCAGGAAATCTGTATGGTAGTTCTATACAAATTTGAACCGATTTCAATAAAACTTTCCACATGCTAGGTTATATAAATTATATAACTTTGGGTCTTTGGTGCACCTTTTACTTAAAATCTGACGAAACAATATAGAGGAACTATATCTAAATCTGAACCGATTTCAAGAAAACTTGCTACACGTTATCTCATCATAACTACAATAAGTTGTGCAAAATTTTGTGTCAATCGGACCCACCTGGGGAGTTCGGTGCAGCATTTATATCTGACATCTAGGTTATACTAAGTTCAGTACGAAAGATATATGGGAACTTTGGTACACCAATTACATTAAATCGGACTAAAATGTATATGAGAGCTATATCTAAATTTGGACGGGATTTCAGGAAACTTAACACACATCATTCTAGACCTAATTCACTACGCTATGCCAAATTTCGTGCAAATCGAATGATATATAGGGACTTTGGTACACCATTTACCTTAAATCAGAAGAAAATATATATGGGAGCTATATCAAAATCTGACTCGATTTTCACGAAACTTAACATATATCATTTTAGACCTAATTCATTACGCTATGCCAAATTTCGTGCAAATCGAAGATATATGGGGACTTTGGTACACCTAAATCGGACGAAAATAGATATGGGACCTATATCTAAAACTGGACCGATTTTCACGAAACTTAACACACATCATTCTATACCTAATTCATTACGCTGTGCCGAATTTCGTGCAAATCGAAGGATATGTAGGGATTTTGGTGCACCATTTACCTTAAATCAGACGAAAATATATATGGGAGCTATATCTAAATCTGGACCGATTTCCAGGAATCTTAACACACATCATTCTAGATCTTATTCTGTACGCTATGCCAAATTTCGTGCAAATCGGAAGATATATAGTGATTTTGGTACACCATTTACGTTAAATCGGACGAAAATATATATATATATGGGAGCTATATCTAAATCTGGACCGATTTCCAGTAAACTTAACACACATCATTCTATACCTTATTCAGTACTCTATGCCAAATTTCGTGCAACTTGAAAGATATATAGGGACTTTGGTACACAATTTACCTTAAAGATATATATGGGGACGAAAATATATATGGGGGCTATATCTAAATCTGGACCTATTTTCAGGAAACTTAACACGTATCATTCTAGACCTAATTCAGTACGCTATGCCAAATATCGTGCAAATCGAAAGATATATAGGGACTTTAGTACACCATTTACGTTAAATCGGACGAAAATATATATGGGAGCTATATCTAAATCTGACCCGATTTTCACGAAACTTAACACACATCATTCTAGACCTAATTCATCACGCTATGCCAAATTTCGTGCAAATCGAAAGATATATAGGGACTTTGGTACTCCATTTACCTTAAATCGGACGAAAATATATATGGGAGCTATATCTAAATCTGGAACGATTTCCAGGGAACTTAACACACATCATTCTAGCCCTTTTTATGTACGCTATGCCAAATTTCGTGCAAATCGAAAAATATATACCTTAAATCGGACGAAGCTATATATGGGTGCTATATCTAAATCTGAACCGATTTTCACGAAACTTGACATACATCATTTTAGACCTAATTCATTACGCTATGCCTAATTTCGTGCAAATCGGAAGATATATAGGGACTTTGGTACACCATTTACCTTAAATCGGACGAAAATGTATATGGGGGCTATACCTAAATTTGGACCAATTTCCAGGAAACTTAACACACATCATTCTGGACCTAATTCAGTACGCTTTATTATTTTTTTATTATTATTTTTAAGTCCCATATAATGGGTGGATTTTGTTAAAGAATTTTTTTTCGAAGGCTTTAAGAGGTGCAGATTTTTTAAAGAACATTTTTCGAGGGCTATAAGAGGCATAGATTTTTTAAAGTATTTTTTCGAGGGCTATAAGAGACGTGGATTTTTTAAGTATATTTCTTCGAAGGCTATAAGAGGCGTGGATTTGTTAAAGTATATTTTTCGTGGGCTATTAGAGGCGTGGATTTGTTAAAGTATATTTTTTCGAGGGCCATAAGAAGTGTGGATTTTTTTAAGTATATTTTTTCGAGGGCTATAAGAGGCGTGGATTTGTTAAAGTATATTTTTTCGAGGGCCATAAGAAGTGTGGATTTTTTTAAGTATATTTTTTCGAGGTCTGTAAGAGGCGTGGATTTATTAAGGAATATTTTGTAAATAATATTTTTTCGAGGGCTATAAAAGGAGCGGATTTTGTAAAGAATATTTTTATTTTTTATGTTTAAAGAATATTTTTTCGAATGGTTCACAAAGGAGTAGATTTTTTTAAAAAAATATGGGGGGTCAGACAAGTGTAGATTACCCACTGTCCCATCCATCACTTTAAAGCTAACCATTACGATTTAACATCACTTAACCATTTTAGTATGGGTGATGGCAGTCCATGCCATGCGTAATTTCTTGAAATTCCACTCCTCGTTTGGCATATTTTACCTTCTCTTTTTATTCAGTGGCTACATTTCGGTTTTGGCATTTTTAAGTTGCCCTCTCCTATATCCCGCTTAACATTTCGTCCCTCTTTTTGTTATCTTTGCAGATTGAATAAGATTTTTGTGTGTAGTAGTTGGCTATCTGTCCACTAATCCAGCTGTGCTTGTCTATTCATCAACGGAGCTGATGTGCCACAACTGTAGCACGGTAAGCAGCAGCGTCTGCGGCTAGTTACGTGGGTGTTTTTTAGTGCACCATTGGTGGACAGCTGCTGTGTGTTGGTGGGTTTTGTTTAGCGTTTTGGTAAACACCATTCATTTAATTGTCGGAGGCCATTTCTTTGAGGTTTGCCTGCATTTTCGTTCGTTATTTAAAGCAATCTCTTAATTTCACATTAATCGCTTACTGTCAAGTGATTATAAATCGTTTAAAAGAGTTTTTTGGGTTTTTTATTTTTGAAAAAAATTGTCTGAAATGGAAAGTAGCCAGCACTAGCGTAGCTTTAAATAGTTCCTTGATTTAAAAAATCTGGAAAGGGGACAGTAGCCTTTTATGGCTTTATTCCAAGGCGTGTATTTTTTGAAGAATATTTTTTCAGGACTACAAGAGGCGTGGATTTTTTAAAGAATATTTTTTTCCAGGACTATAAGAAAGGGATTTTTTAAAGAATATTTTTGATTTAGGATTATAAGAGCTGGGGATTTTTAAAGAATATTTTTTTCAGGACTATAAGAGGCTTGGATTAATTAAAGAATATTATTTCAGGACTATAAAAGCCGTGGATATTTTTCCGGATTTTTTAATTATTATTGGATTTATTCCCAGGAGCTAATAAAACTAATTGTTGATAAATAAGAATCCGACGCCTCTGTTTTTTCATAGCCAAGCCAAGTAGTTTCATAGCCATCGTATATTCGGATATCTATTTTGTGTTCGCCACTTTGTTTTTCGTTTACTTTAATCTCTGTCATAATTTGTTAGAGTTTTTATCTCCATCATAATTAGTTATGAAATTTGGTTAATACTTACGAACAATTTGTTCCTTGTTCAAATCATCCTGAAAATATAAGAGAAAAGGTGACAAACTATTAATATTTATGCGGATTAATGAAATAGAAGAAAATATCAGAGAATGTGATCTCAGCTAGCAGAATGGCTAATTAGTGGATATTTTTTTATAAAAACAGGCTTTAAATTGTTTTTTTTTTTTTTTTTTTTTTTTTTTTTTGATAAACCCTAGCAATGGAAATGTTTATCGAGTATTTATATTGATGACATCTATATAAATACTCCTTTATCAGGATATTGATTCGATTTTTTGGGAAAGTATGAACCAATGTAAACCTTTTAAGACCTGTATAGCTATTGTATACAAAATTAATTATATTCGAGAAGTCCTCTTAGAGGGTCTTTTATATGAAAATTCTTAAACATATTATTTTCCTATATGAGTTCCTTAGGAGTGTTTTTCCTATATCCATCTTTTATTATTTTAAAATTCCATCCCTGACCAATATTAATTTGCACTACATATATTTATAAGCTTTCAACTAAGATGCAAGCAAACAAAAATATATTTGTTCACCTTGGTGTAACGATAGGTTTCACGTTGTCGTTGCCACAACGATTTCACAAATTCACATATCTCCCTGTAGTTGTCGGCATTGAAGGGATTGACAAACCTACAATAAGAAATTAAAATGTAGGGCTGCCTATTCTTTGAATTGAAATTAAAAAAATATTTCAGATATTTACCCCTCTGTGCCGCAGCAAACTATGAATGCTCTATACCAAATATTATGTAACCATTTTCTATAATCCTAAAATAGATCTTCAAGCATACAAAACAAAATAATATTTAAAGAGGATAATATATTATAAAAATCGGCAATACAATATTCTAAAACTTTTTAAGAATACATTGTTGATGGGCTTGGTTTAGAACCTTGGATAGTTTGAAGAGTATCAGGACTATAAAAGGCGTGGATTTTTTAAAGAATATTTTTTTCAGAACTACAAAAGGCGTGGATTTTTTAAAAGAATATTTTTTCAGAACTACAAGAGGTATGGATTTTTGAATAGATTATTTTAACGTTGGGCGCCATTTTGCATTTTTGTTAAATTTACCTTCGGGCTGAGTTACACTTTCAAAAGCATCCCTAAAAAGTCCATGGTTATGGTTTAGTTGGTCAATAATCCTTGCTTTTGGTCTTGCCTTTAAAATATTAGTTCAAAATTGTACGTTTCTTGTTCACCTGAACAATACAAACATCCCCAAAAAATCTTCGCTTCTGGATCAGTTTGAATAACATATTTTTAACGTTGGGCCAAAAATTGCTTACAAATTTTACGCATCTTGTTCAAATGACCCTTTACAAACATCCCGAAAAACTTTGTTTTTGTATCATTTGACCCAGTTTCAGTAACATATTTTTAATCTTGGTCGCCATTTAGCATATTGGATAGGTTGGCCCTTAACAAAACAAATAAAAATACTTAAAAATTGTACGCTTCTTGTTCAAATGACCCTTTACAAACATCCCAAAAATTTTGTTTCTGTATCATTTGACCCAGTTTGAATAAAATATTTTAACGCTGGGCATTTGGGCGCCATATAGCATTTTGGTTAGATTGGCCCTTAAAAAATCCTCAAAAATGGTAGGCTTCTGTATAAACTGTGCCATTAAAACAATTCGTAAAATGTACACGCTTCTGATTCAAATGACCTTTTACAAACCTCAATTCTGGCCCTTGCCTTTTAAAACATGCTTACAAGAACCACAAACTTTTGGTTTTGTTAAAAAAAAACTTGCTCATTTGGCTCTTAAAAAAATATTCTCAAAAAAAATCCTTTGTATCAATTGAATTTGTTTGAATGGAAACATTTTTGACGTTGGGCGCCATTTTCAAATTCAAAAAAAAAACATCCTCAAAAATATGCTCACTTCTGGCTAAGTTGGGGCTTTAAAAACATTCTCACAAATCCCAAACTTCTGCTTCTTGCCTTTTAAAACACACCCTTTAAACGGTCACTGTACAGGTTTAGTTGGAATTAAATATTTTTTACTTTGGGCGCCATTTTACATTTTGGTTAAAAAACCTAAGCTTTCGGCTAAATGGTATCCTTTAATAACATTGTTGTTGAGTTGACCCTTTATATGGGTCTGATATCCCAAGAAATTTCATCACAATGTCTATGAAAGGAAAATTTCTAACGTTGGGCGCCATTTTTAACAATTGGGCACCACTTTTATGTTCAAAAAAAAAAAAAAAAATATGTCCTCAAAAAATTGCTCACTTCTAGCTAAGTTTGTTCTTTAAAAAACATTCTAAAAATCCCAAGCTTCTGGCCCTTGCCTTTTAATACACGTCCTTCAAAAGTCCACTCTACTCATTTAGTTAGACCTTTAATGGAATTTAATATTCTTTTACGTTGGTCGCCATTTTGTAACATCGTGGTTCAGACGTGGTTCCACGCTTCTAATGCAATGTTTTTTTTTCGTAAAAAAAAATCGGTCCATAGAATGCATTGAAGGGGACATGACCTGTAATAATACATTGGCGATCAATAAAAAGCCATCATTCCATATCAGAGATTCACTTTAATTTACGTTGGGCGCCATTTTGTAAAACAGATGCAAAAGGTATATTACCTCCAATTTTTTGGTGCAATTCTTGTCCCAAGAAAGTATTATGCTAAATATAGAAGAAAATTTGCATTACACATAAAATCTTAAATGGGGCTTGGCCTTTGGAAAACAAATTGGCCACCAAAAAATAAGGTTTTCATTACCTATCTGAAATTTACCGGGATATGTACCTCAAATTCTTATTGGATCTGCTTTTCCAACGGAAAATGTTTCATAAAGTGTTGCTTTGGGCTCATCTTCAATTCATATCATATTCAATTCATATTTGGTAAAAATATATATGTTGCCATATTGGGCGCCATTTTGCAAAAAAAAAAAAGTGTCTAGCAATTTCGTAGTTAGTAATGGAATAGCCTTAACTCCTTAACAATATATATTGATGGTCTTATTCTAAATATATATTCTTAGGGGAAATAGTCTTTTCACTTAAGACCATCCACCAATGAATGACTTAGAAGAACTATTAAATATATTCTGACTATAGAAAAAGGGGACATGGCCTGCGATTTACACATTGACAGTCAATATAAATCCTTTATTCCAAATCTAAAACTTACTGAGGTGTGCAGCAGAAATTCTTGATGGAGATTCATGCTCTACTCTCATCTTCAACGTTGGGCGCCATTTTACAAAAGTAACTGAATAAAAAAAATGAAAAGTAATTATTTCACCAATAATCCTTAAAAGCTTGAGTCTACATTTAGGGACACTTTAAGCCCAATAGAATGTCTTCCATAAGAAAATGGAACGTATTCTAAAAGTTTAAAGATTTTCTAGGTTCTGATGACTGCAATTCGTGTGGGTTAATATTAAGAAAAATAATAATTGAATCTTGTTATAAATTGTGTTTCCTTCAATATTTAGTTTCATTATAACGTTGGGCGCCATTTAAGGAGATTTGCAAGATCGAAGGGTTTTGTGTACAACATAGGCATATTAACAGTAGAAATGCTCTGTATGGCAGCAGTTACGATTTGTATAGAAGTTTTCACAAGTTTTGCGTGTGAAAAATTAGTTATTATCTTGGGAGCCATTATTTTTTTTTCCCAGAATATATTAACATTCCTGTATAAATTGATTAACCTTTTTTTGTTAATTTCACTTAAACAAACTTTTTGATGACATTTTTGCCTAGGATTTTAAAAAACATATTTCGAATTGAAGATTCCTTAATTTTGAGTGAAATTTTTTCTTAAAAAAACTTGTGAATTTCATTAAAAATTTTTGAACCTATTCCACTCTTCTTGCAATCAAGTCCATCATAACACATTGTAGGATACCAAAAAAAATGCAATATAATTTATTGCTCGATATGGATGCAGTTCGTAGGTCCGCAGTCTCACACCGCCGTCTATGCAGATCAATAAAAATAGTTTGTGTTTGGGTTAATGGGATCATAAATTTCACTTGAAATTGGAATTTTTGATGATTTATTTTGGCCATAGAATTACAACATCGTCATCAGCAAAAAAATAATGGCTGGGATTATGACAGTGGCTGAGGATGATGACGATGACGATGTTGAAAATATTATGGTACACACAAATATGAAGAATTTCAAACACGCACACACACACATATTAATGAAGATTTTTTTTAATTTTTTAAAGGAATTTTTTTCAAAGGACATCATTTTTTTGCTCTACATAAAATTAACACTAACCGCCATGTTTGTTCTTGTTGCTGTAGTTGTTGTTACTTTAAAGAAGTTTTAAAGTTAAAAAAAATCGCCTATAAACGACTTTAACGCGATTATGCGGATTCAATAAAAACCACGTCTCGACAGCGTATGCCTTTCGTACGTCCGATTAACTGTGTTGGTTAAGGTGGTGCCGTTATCGCCTGCTAAGCCCAAGATTGTGGCGTTGAGTGGTGCGCTGGTGGGTGCACAGGTCTGTTGTTACGCTGAGAAATGATTTAGAAGAACTAAATCAATTACAAAATCTAAAGGCTTAGAACTTTTTTCCTCGGCTGCAGCGAAAGAAAAAACCCCCCTAGCTGTCTCCTCTCAAAAACATCATCATCCGCATCATCTTCAGCATACCACCATCATCCACCATAAAAACAAAAATTTACGCCAAATAATGCTCTTCTATTACACAAACAAATCGCACCAAAAAAAACAACAACAAAACTCAACAACAAAATTTGAATGAATATGAAAAGATGTGTCGTTTGAGTGGCTAGAAAAACAACCGCCAACATCTATACTCAGTACAAAAAAGGTGTAAAGAACTACAAATAAACACCAAAAACTATAAAAATATTTTTTGCTGTCGATTTTTTTTTCTTGGCGAAAAACCACACATCAACATTAGCCAGAGCCTCTATGCAGCAGCAGAAGCACCACCACCATCAGCAACAACAACAATAAATACATCGAATATATGAACCGACAAAAAAACAC